ATTTTAATTTTCAGACTTCAAGTCAAATAAAAGTTTTACTTACTGATCCAGTTTTCTCAAATAGGGTTAATTTAATCAAAAAAGTGTCAATCATAAATTGTTCTAGAAACTCAAAGAGCCTTAAGGACATATATTTTCGAAATTCAAAAAGTGAAATTTGTTGAACAAACAAGGCAGTTTTTTCTGTTTATTTGCATTCCTTCACGCTTTTCAACTGTCTGATGTCCATGTTTTTTTGTTTTTTTTTTTCAGGTCGAAATTTGTTCCCGCCAAGTTTGATCTTTTGCGTTTTGGCTTTTGATTGCTTGTTAAGTTAAATTCAGTTCACTTGCTTAGAGGAATGCAGATTAGGCTCTCGTGTTCCGAAAGCGGAAATGCCGCAAACAATCTTGAGCGACTATTGTTCTCGAAAGTGGATATTAATTTTTAGATTTCCGATCGGAACAAAATTATTTCCTATTGACTCAGTTTTCTGAATTTGGCGTAGTTTCATCACAAAAAATTTGAGTCATAAATATTTCCGGAAGCTCTACGAGATTCAAGGCCATACTTGTTCCTTGAAATTCGAAATTTGAAGTTTCTTCAAATCACAAGTCAGTTTACTTCTGTTTCTTAAGTTCATTGACACAACTTTTGAATTGGCTGTTGGCTTTGTTTGCCTTTTTGTTGCATGCAAGGAAATAGTTTGAAAAGTGAACGTTTCCTTTTTTGAGATTTTCTGTTTTGGGTGGTATTTTTTTTCAGTTTTTGTTATCCTATTGTTTTTTGAATTTTCATTGACAAAGTGAGGACATCTTTTTATGTAGTTTTATTAAAAGAATCGAAGATATGTTTTTCTTCGAGTTTCGAAAATGAAAAATCATGAGAGGTTGTCATTTAAAATTTCTGATTCCTTGCGTACATTGACTCTTCTTGGTTGCTGTTTATTTCATGAGTCATGTTTTCGTAATTTGGTGCATTTGCGAAGCATCAACTGTTGTTTTTTTTATCAAGTTCAGTTTTGGACGTTTTTTGGGTTTTTGAAAGTTTAATATATTAAAGCAGAATAATATATTGGTTGTTTTGGTAAATATTAAGCGTAAATAGTTCAACATCAAATTTTCATTCAAAGCAGGTAAGGAATCGTTGGTTAGTTATGTATGTTTGCAGCTTTCGTTTGTTTTCACGCCGAATTAGTTCTTATATTCAAAAGTTTTCGAGTGAAAAATAACGAAGTGATTTTCCTTTATATAGGAATGGGTGATTTGTTTTCAGGAAAATGTTTCGATTTTTGTTCACGCTCAATTTTGTTTCTTCTCGCTTTGACTTATCATATTCCTTTATTTTAGGAAGACAAGCTCCACTAGCGTATAGAAGAAGTAAAACAGCCATGAAAAACGTGAATGGACTTCTAAATGGCACATAAATGGGCTGTAATTTTTTGAATTACCAGCAAATAAAAAAATACCTTTTGATCTAGTTTTTCTGTAAATAGGATAACTTTACGAAACAAGTGCCAATCATAAACTCTTTAATTCTTTTTCTTTTCGATTTGATTGTTCATTTGCACTTTGCCGACTGTCTGTTGGCTATGTTTTTCTTAAAAACGCTTCCAATTTTTTCACAAATGATTATCTTTTCAAGGGCATTCTAGGATGTAATGAAGTAAATAGTGTGATTGCTGAATTTTGCTCAATTTTTTTGGTCGAATAACCAGCTTTACCAAGCTCTCCTAGAAGAAACTACATGAGCTAAGTATAAGTCAACGAATGGAAAAAAAGAAACAAAAATGTTTTGGTCAAAAACAACGTGTTTATTAAAGTGAGTTTGTTCGGGATGGCTCACTCATAGAGTAATTTCAGATAAGGTACACCGTCTGTTCGTCACGCTATCTTTATTTTCGGTCGGATAGATTCGTGCAACTTTTTAGTCTAATACCGATCTTAATCGTACTCTTATATCTCCTAATCTGAATAGATCTGGAGTATACTGGTATTTGCGATGTTAGATATCAAGAACTGTTCTAGAGAAGAGCAACTGTTTTCTAAGTTATATTTATTCTGTTCTGTTGCTGAAACTATGAATAGTTTCAGCCTTGCAAATTATTATAAGTGGTAGTTATGGATCATGATTGGTTAGTTGGAAATACTTTATACAGATAGTTTTATCAATAATATAATTGGATATAAATACTAGTTTTAAACTGGTTCCAAAAGTGTAAGGCAAAATTTGCCTACGTGTATGGGTCAGCTTGCCAAAAAATTGATTTCCACGTAGTATGAAAGCGGGAAAAAGACCATGATTTGATATGTGAAAATAAATTTTTAAGAAAGCTTGCATTTTTTTTTCAGTTATGGGAGAGGAAATAAATGCTATAAGACAGTATAAGAATAGTGATGTCTAGTCCATACCTTCGACTGTGCTAGGATCCCATGCTAGCTGAGGCACAAAATACGACATATATGTCCACACGTTTAAACTCACAGTTCCCGCTTTCTGGTCTATGTCCATGACTTGGTAAACATCCAGAAAGAAAAAGACAGTGTTGTCAACCATATCTGAATGCGGGCTGTGTTTGGTAGTGTTGCCTAGTAACAGGTCCAGAAACTGTTTTCGGATATTTTTTTACTATTACCCCTTTTGCCTTAAAAAAATGAGTCATTCAGAACCTAAAAATCATAATAAATTGTTTTCAGGCTAATATACCAGTGGTTATAAACCGCATTTAGAACCATTGACTTTTTGGCGCGTTTTCAGATTTCTATATGCACCAATAGTTCTGCGTCCTTGGGTTTCTTGACCCGTTTTCAACTGTCTCTTGGCTCAGTTAAAATTCGGTGGCAAGAAATGGCGTTTAGTAATTTATGAATAGTTTCGATTGAATTTGTAACTTATATGCACCCATATAAACACTAATTCTAAAGTTGTGCATATGCGAGTTTCGTACCCAGTACTTGCCCCTTTTTTATGAGGGGAGGGGCAAATAGTTAAAAAGATCCCTCTTTTTCTTCTTCGACTGTCCTGAAGCCGTTCACGTGTACACCCAGAAAGAAATAAAGGAGAAAATATTTGCGATTAAAGGGAACCATCGTCTCACAATCGACCAAATCAAAAAATTTGATATATGTTTGAACAGCTGTATAATTTTCTAAGCAATTTCCTGAAATAATTGGTAGTGGAATTTAAATGATAAGTAATTTTATGTCAGCCGTAGACACTTTTTTGAATAGTTGGTTTATATAGCTGCTCCGTGAGATAATAATTTGATGGAATTTTGATTGCTTTATTTAGTTATTGAACCATTCTGGTTTGCAATAGAAAATAGCGAAGTTGTTATTCTTAATGTTTTTGAGGAATTTTATATTGGTTTTTGAAACATTGATTTTTAGAGTATCTAAGAAAGATTTTCATTGTTGTTTTTTCTTAAAATCAGGTGGGATTTCTCGCGTTGTTCAGTAACTGTATCTAGAAAAATAGTTTTTGTTTGAGTGAGAAAGTTTTCTGGAACGAAAAGTTCTTGTTCAAAAGAAAAATTAGAGAAACAAGTTAACGAATCCAAAAGATAATTTATGTTTTTTTTTTCAAATTGCTCGTGCGTGATGCATGAATGTTTCGGTATGATTGGAAGATTGGGTAATAGCCAGTATTTAAAAATTTTGAGCATAAAGACAGAGATTTGAATATCAAAAAACAATTTTATTCAAAGCGCAACGTCGACTGTTTGTCTTGTTGTTGGTTTTTGAGTTTCAGCGGTAGGCCAGTTGATAATTAACAACAGCTCTTAGATATTCAATTGAAAATATAAAACTTGATTCAAGTATGCTTATCATTCGTTTTTTATGTATTTCCTGATGTCACTGGACAAAACCGGGTAGATGAATCGCGGAAACTGATTGTTTTTTTTTGTTCTTTTTTAAATTTAACTAAAACGAAATTAAAAAGAAAGCCCATAGCTGTTTGCCTTGAGTAGCACAGGAAAAAGTACAACAATAAAAAAAAAATAATTCGAAACATACATTTATTTTTAAAGAGTAATGAACATAGTGAGTACTCTAATATAGGTCTTGGTGATATTTTTGTTTTATTTTTTTTTCTTTCAGGAAAAAAAATCTTAAAATTTGTTTACGCTCAGTTTTAATTTTTCGCGGTTCGACTTTTGATTCCTTTTTAAGTTCACTTCATTTCCTTGTTAAAAGGAAGACAAACCCCTCTATCGAACAAAAAACCTGATCGAATTCAGTTATGAAAGTGGATATTAATTTTCAGATTTCCCAGCGGATTGAAAAAGTTTATCAATTTTCTCAAATTGGGTTAATTTAATCAAGTGTCAATCTTAAATTGTTCTGGCATTTCAAAGAGTTTTAAGAGCATCAAATTTTTGCTATAAAAATTAAAATTAAATTTTTTTTTTCTAAAAAAAATTTTTTTTTTTTTTTCAATTTTCTTGTGCTTATTATTCTTATCCAAGTGTCAGTTGGCTTTGTTTTATTTTTTTTGATGGATATCCTTTGATCGGTTTTGAATAACTTGGTTTTTTTTTTCTACTAAAAGGCAGCTAGGTTTAATTATGAAAACAACAAGGTCTAAAAGTAATGATTATCGGCTAAAACGGCGCTACTTTTGTAGCGGAATTAATTTTTGAGGCAATGATTGTGCTTTTTTAAGAATCGATGCACGTAGTTCAGGCTCTTATATAGGTCGTGATGATTTTTTTCGTTATAAAGAAATTAAACATTCATCCAGTTGTCTCAAATTGGGGGCATTACAACTACTTTTTAGTTTTTTGTTTCCTTGCGTTATGGACTTTTTTTCCAACCGTATGTTGGCTTCGTTTAAGTTTTATGACAGGTTAGTTTGCCAGTTCCTATCTGAAAACGCTTTAAAGGATTCATTGCTTATTTAATAAAAATGTTTCATTGCTTTTTGTTCTAGGCTTTTTGTTCTAATTTTGTGAATTATTGTATTTTTCATTTTTTACTGCTTGTTTTACTGCTGGTAAAAATGTTTTTTTTTTATTCTAGGAAACAGTGCAATTCTGGAGGAGGTGTACAAACTGCTGACTGAGAACTACGTGGAGGATGACGACAACATGTTCAGATTCAACTACTCCCCCCACTTCCTCCTCTGGGCTCTGCAGCCCCCCGAGTTTGTGCCAGACTGGCATGTGGGAGTGCGGACAGCCAGCAACAACAAACTAGTCGGTAATGAATGTTGGCTGCATTAGTTATATATGTACATGTGTATTCTCAGTTCTTAGTTTTGGAAATGTTCAACATAACTCAGATCGGCTATGATTGATTGTTTGAAAATAATAAAAAGAGCAACTCAGGTTTTTTCCAGTTGGTCAAGTTTGTTGACAATTGTTGGGCTAATTTGAGTAGAAAAACTGAAAAATGTGATGTAATGTGTCTGTTCAGTGTTTTTTTAAATATTTTTTCATTGACTAATTGCATATGACGTCTTCCGATGCTCAAAAAGTTTAACTGTTATAGAAAAAGAAAAATTAAATTAAAATAAAATTTATGCATTCAATCTACTTTTAACTCAAAATTGTATATTATGATTACAATAGCTTGCAAGTACAGTTTAAGTTTTTACTCAAGGAGGATATCGTAAGGCATTGAGCCAATCAAATTCTGTTTGTAGTTACGGTTTGAAAATGTAGATCCTTTTTTCAGCGTGAAAAGAAGCAAAATTGAGTTTTTGACCCTAGATGTCGAATTATGAAATGAAATTTGAGGTCATTTGCTCCATTTAACAATCCAATGTTTTCAAATAAATAGTCACTTGTGATTTTTTGGGTTAAATACATCATTTCTTGGATGCATTTTCACTGGAAGTTCAGACAACATATCCCAGACTAGACAAAACATCCAAAAAAAGGATTAAGCAGATAATTATTAATGAGCAGATTAAACGTTTGAAATTGAAATGAAAAGTTAGCGTTTTTAAGTCTGTCGTTTTTTTTCTGAAATCTTAAAAATTGAGTGTGATATGGCAAAAGTACGGAGGCTCTTCTATTATAGCTTAGCAATTTATACAATTAACTGTATGGCTTTGGGGTGTATTTTTGCTATGCTCTTATGGGTATCTATAATCCGAAAGATGCAGGTTTCATAGCCGGAGCCAAAATTAGCTTTTTAACTATTTTGGTCTATTCTGTTTTTTTTGCAACTAACTATAAATTCGTTCAGATTGCTTAATCGAAGTCGATATTGCCAGCAATGGAGTATTAATTGTAATATGTAACTTCATTTATAGATTTCATATCAGATTAAATTAACCTAAAGCAACCCTTTGAACCGATTAAGCCTTTCCAGCTCACCGATATTGCCAACAACTGTTATTAATTATCATAAGTAGCAGAAAAGTTGAAACAGACAACTTGCCAAAAGAGCAATTCGCCATTTTTGAGGAATTTTTGCATGCAAATTTGACTTTTTGGTGACTTTGAGACACTGTTCATTATTTTTTTTTGTGATTTGGTTTTTCACGTCCTCAAAAGAGTGATAAATACAAATGGCGTCAAAATGAGCAGTTTTAGCTTAATTAATTAACTATAATTTTTCAGGTTTCATATCTGGAGTGCCTGCCACAATGCAAGTGCACTCTAAAGTACAGAAGATGGCGGAAATCAACTTCCTCTGTGTGCACAAGAAGCTCCGTGCGAAGAGAGTCACTCCAGTGCTGATCCGTGAAGTGACGAGGAGAGTGAACAGGAAGGGTATATTCCAGGCAGTGTACACTGCCGGTGTGTTTCTACCCACTCCCTTCGCAACTGGAAGATATTATCACAGGTAGCCGACAACAAGAGATGTTTTTATTGTCCCTACCATGGAAAATGGGGAGGAAATTTTGTCTTTGGTTGTGTTTTAGCTTTTCTTTGTTTCGTTCTTTTTGCCTTATGACGTCAGAATTTTAATATAATGTTAGAAGTTTTTATGGAAAAGGTCATAAAAAATGGAGGGCTTAAAATGCTAATTTTTTTTCGATGGGGGATTTGTCAACCAATCATAGCTCACTATTGAACAATTCAAAAGGAATAAGCGATGAATTTAGACAGTTTTTTCAACAGTTAAATTGTTCCTGTCGTTCGATTGGTTGAGAATTATCGCGCATTCGTTCCTTATTTCGTATGAATGAGAATAGTATAAAAGTGTACTCCGATTTGTATGAATGAGTCTATTTTTTTTAAGATCTCTCAACCCGAAGAAGCTAGTGGAAACGGGCTTCAGCGGCCTGAGGAAAAACCAGACGCTACAGCGCATGCAGAAACTGTACAAATTACCGTCTGAAGTGAAGACGAAACGCCTTCGCAAACTGGAGCAGAAAGACTTGAAAAGTGTGACTAGTTTGGTCAATAATTATTTGGGTCAGTTTGCAGTGTCGCCTGTGTTTTCGGAAGAGGAGGTAAATTATAACAGTGAATTCAATCAGTCTACATTTTTTTCAGTTATAGTCGTTAATTTAAAGAGATATTTTTGTTTGTTGTGACCTTCATTCCATGTTTGTTCATTCCATTTTTACTGAGTTGTTTACCAAAGAAGTGAATGATTTTGAATGAAACTGCTGACATAATTTAACAACCATTGAGAATTTGTTAATTTTTTTGCGACAATGTTGAAATACTGATGAGCAATCACTTGAAAGGATGGATGATTTGGAATTAAAATTCTGAAGAGTTATCTTGGATACTTGATCAAGTTTTCGAGGTCAATTAAGTTTCACAGATGCCGAGAAACCCATTAATTTTCAAATTAAAAAAACTAAAAAAAGGTGTTAAAAAACTATAATAATTGTAAAGCTAAGTAGTGGTTTGTTCCTTTTTTGAGCTATATTTTCTGTCTCTTAGATCAAACATTGGTTTTCTCCGCGTGAAGATGTGCTGTACTGTTACGTGGTAGAGGATAGCAAAGGGAATCTGACAGATCTGATCAGCTTCTACAATCTGCCCTCCCAAGTCATGAACAACCCAAAGTACAAGGTACGCCCATAATAAGACACGACACCTCGCAATAAATTATAACTAGCGTGAAATAAATAGCGTGAGGGAGCACATATAAACTTTACTAGTGTGTTACTCGCAAAGTTAAAACCACAACAGTCATCTTTTGAGCAAAATGAATTTTAGTTCAAAATGTTAGCAACTGAATGAATCCCATTTGGTGTAGAAAGAAAAATTTGGCAGAAGTAAGTTGGGTGAGGGGTGGAGGGGGGAGGGGGTGGGGGTGGTGTACAAATTCGGGTCAATATGGCTAAATCTGCTAAAGAGGGTTGTAAAGGTCGGGAAATTTAAATCCATTTGGTTCGAATCCCGCTTCGGTCACAGATGGAGGGGTCACAGTGTCATCCGCCTCCTCATGGTGGGACCGGTTGCGGCAAAATGGATGATTTCTATCTCCCCCACACGGAAAAAAAGGCCCAAAGTTGAATGGTGGGAGCTGGCGCGGAGGCTAATAAAAAATAAAATAAGTATTGCAAATCTTGAGTTATAAAGATTGCGTAATATTATTTCGGAGTTTTTTCTCAGGAAATCAAAGCTGCCTATTCCTTTTACAACGTGCACACTGAAACGCCACTAACTCAAATCATGCAAGATGCTCTCATCCTAGCCAAGCAAGACTCCTTCGACGTGTTCAACTGTCTCAACATCATGACTAATGCCTCATTCGTGGAAGAGTTGAAGTTCGGAATTGGAGATGGAAATCTGCATTATTACTTTTATAACTTCAAGTGTCCTAAAGTTAATCACGAACAAGTCGGTTTAGTGTTGCAATAGAAAAAGGAAGAGAATCGACTGCTCCAGAAGAAAAATGTGAAAGAGAATTTAAAACGATAGTGTTGAGAAAAATTACTAGTTTCTTCGAGATTTCTTGGACACTCTTAATACTAAAGGGGAAGTAAATATGAACTGCTGTTTTTGGGAATTGAAACAGACAATAAGTTTTTTCCATTCTTTCAAAAACTCAAAAAGTTTAAATAAAAATTGAAAAAGGCTCGACGAATAACAGACCGAATTAATTATTTCCTGATTTTTTTTGCCTAAAATCCGAGCTGTGATACTCTGAATAAACGAACTGAATGATATACACAAGATTAGGTAATTCAAGTTCTCTGAGAATTCTTTGTCCGATAAAAAATCCTTTTAAGCTGCTGAAACAATCATATATTGCAAAGTTAAACATAAGATAATATTGACCTTGAAAACAGTAAAGATAAGTAGAATAATAACTATGTACTTGAAAATATCCTCAAGTTTACTACTGCTTGAGCAGTATTACGCTCCCTGAGCGACAGGGGAAAATTTTATCTTCTATAATTGATAAAAAAATAATCGTTATAGGAGGTTTAAAATCAGAATTTTTCGTATAAGATTCTTCAAATTGATTTTTTTCTGGCTTCACTTTTCCTAGTCTATAGCAATGTCTATCTGCCAACACGGATTCCATGAAGCGTCCAATTCCAAATATTGGTACCCGAATTTTCGCTTCAATAAGTGGCGTTCCAGTAGGGTCAATCGTGTCTCCAATTGTAGAATATGTAATTCTATGATCTCATATAGCCGGAAAACGCAGATAGATACTTGAATTGATATCCGGATTATTAGTTATAAGTTACAGGCATGATGATATATACGTATCAATTAGGGGTTTTAAAAAAAGCGGTATTTGGCCCGAAGTGAGAAATCGAAACCAGGGACAGGACTTCGCCAATGTCCCTGGCCAGTTCATTTTGCTCGGCCGGAAGTTTTCCCCCATAATCTCTCAATTGATTTGCGAGCCACAACGCCTCCGTTGAATTCATCGGTACGGTCATCTCGCACTCTACTCCATACTTGAAGTAGACGATAGTGATGTCAGAGATGTGGCGGTGTGTGCCGAGGTATGCGGCCACTTTCATTAGCTTTATTCGCAAGGGGAGTTCTGTGGGCTGGTTCCTGCCCCAAAAGAAGGGGGTAGCGTTCTCCCCCTCCTCAAACTGAAGGGCCCAGACGAAATGAGATTGGGTGGCCATGTGTTTTACGGGAAATTCGGCTCTAAATAGGACAAAATGGGACTTTTTATGAGTTAAATGAAAAGTTTGGCTAAAAGAACAGGTTACAAAATATTCAAAACAAATTATTGAAAGTTTATACCAAAAATTACTCACCTTTTAAAAGTAACTTGAATGTAGTAGATACGAAATAGGAATGATGCGCACAGCCCAAAATGGAACGTCCTATAATCCAGCAAATATTTGCAGTAAATATTTGTCGGAGACGAACGAATCGAAGCATGTGCATAATAGGGACCCAAAATGGTCGAAATTAAATACCAAGATGAGAATGATGAAGATATTTGAAATAATAAGAAAAGTTCAAGTAAAAGGGGATTTTGAATAAAACTATGTAGGTTTTGGATGCATTCCGGTAATAATTGCGACATGCCCTTCCCCTTTGTGGGGCCCCTCATGTTGCTGCCAATACTGAAGGTAAATAGCTTCCGATCCGTTTTGACCGTGTTTATTCCCCGCGACGTAATTCCATTTCGGGGGACTTAGGTCGGTCCGGTACTCGTATATATGTACCCCGAGCATTTCGGCGAGCAGGTGCATGTCGGAATCAATGACCCCACGTGATAGTAACGTCGCATTGGGATCGTGAAAAGGATAATAGAACGAATCCAAACGTCCTCGTTCACGCAATTGCTGATCCTCTAAGGTCCGTTGCAAGCGGTACGACTGTACTTTTCTCCCGGTAATAAGGTAATGTAGGCAATCCAATAAACAAGAAGAAAGAGTGCAAGCGCCTTCGATCGTAATGGGTTCGTGCGTGTTGACGTTGGCACTATCGCAGTCTTGGGTGGCGATAGGTTTTTTCCCGGCAACGAAGACAGGGGCACGAGGTTTATGCGATCGATTTCCCTTTGCTTTCTTCACCGGCGTCATAATCGTCCGGCATATTCGTTCGCGAGTCTTGGACGATAAATGTCGCATAGGAACCTCGTCAGATAGGATCATCCGGGCTTCAATACATTTAATGCACTCGAAACAGACATTTCGACAGACATCACGGAGGTCTCCCTCTATGAAATACTTCGATCGCGCTTCTTGGTGTAGATCGTTATAGTTCCCCCGATGACTTAAGGTTGACCTATGTAAATTACGTATCACGGGGGTGACGTTAAGCTTTTGGAGAACGATTTTCCCATCTCGGCGTAGGTATCCATCCACGAGGGAATACTTCTTCGCTCTAAGGCAGAAGGCGGTTCTTTTGTTTCGGGCAAGGCCGGGGGGTATTTTCCGTCGTTCTTTCGGGGTAGCGTGGAGATATTGGGATATTTGGGTATATAATTCAAAATCCATGATAAAGATGATAAATCGAATAATATGTAATAAGATGAAGAAACCGTTTAGAACGCTACCGAATGATTGATTGGTAAATAATAAAATAGTTAAGTTAAGATTGAATTAAACTCGTGTTTAATTAAGTTCGTGGGATTAATTCCCCTCTTTAGTGAAAATAGTGAATGCAATAGCTCCCGCCAACCCCCCCAACTCGGGAACTATAAGGGCGAACTTTATGAAATTTAATGGAGTGATACTAGAGATGATTTGACCCGGGCATGCAAAGCGCCGGACCCGCTTGACCCCCTGGGGGCCGAGTGATAACGGTTCCCGGAAGTGCAAATGGCCCCACCGGAAACCCTTAACTAATGATCCGATTGAGCTCATTTTTAAATATGTGGTAGCCCTGGATGAGGGAAGCTTAAGTTTGGAATTCCGGATCTCCAAGGTCACCCCGGCCCGATTTATGCCCTAAACAAACAAACCCCCACACGACTCCCGGAGGCTACTTCTCGACCCCCAATGACCCTAGGGAGCTGAAACTTGGAGGGATGGTAGATAGTGACATGGTCTATCGTATATTAGGATGATGACCCTACTGGGTGACAATGGCACGGGCTATTAGCACTTGGGAATATCACCCCTTTTAGGTGTTAATGGGCTATTTGCGAAAAATAATGCGCAAGGGCATATCGATTTTATGGCTTATATGTGTAGTATAACCCACCCCGGTAAAAAGGACCCCTATAGGTCTCAGCTCCCGGTTGACCTTTCTGGTGCTAATTGACCTTTCCCGGGAAAAGTGATAATGAACCTTAAAAGTGGGATAACTTGAGAAGTATTTGTCGGATATGGATGAAACTTGGTAGGTACGACCCCATGTGACCTCGAACCGATTATGGGAGACTTGACCCCGGGTTGACCTTTACTTGACCTTTTGGAATTTTAGCCCCGAAACCCCTAAAATTAGCACCGGAAAGTAGCCCAAATCATATGTCTCATAATCAGGGGAGTTAATAGAGATATGTTATTGATATTGGGTGACAATTTGCGTGCATAGGAAATTAGGTAGGCATTTCCTGGAATTCGATGGAATATCTTGGCTTAATGTATAGTGGTATATTGTTGGATTTAATACGAGTTAGTTAAATAAACATTGGGTTAAATTTTGACTTGGCGAATGAACTATTAATAGAAATGCGTCAATGGCACAGAAAAGTAGTCACATATTAATTTGGCAATATGACAGAGGGAATAGGGAATTAATTAACATAAATATTAGAAATGTACTGGATATTCCATTGGCTTCTGGGAGATGTTTTTTTTGGCTCAATTGGACACTAGTTGGGGGAATGGCTTAACCTGAAGGTCGATTAGGTTGAAATTTGAATAGGTTATGCATGGGAATTTTTGAATTATGATAATTAGGAAATTAAGTCCTTTGTGAATTTACCCTAAGTGTGGGAGACGGGAAAAGTTACGGGAAAGTTAAATAAAGTCCTTGGTAATGTTGATATGTAAATATAGCTTGGATTGAGTTGAAGTTGCATTTGCTATTTGTTTTGCATAGCTTTGATTGGCATTTGGAACCTGGCATTTAAATTAATGTGATCATGCCGAGTTTATGAACTGGAACGCTGCGTAGGAGGCATAAAGGTAAATGCTAAGACTTATAAGGGGATGGCATCTCTAACTAAAACTAAGGGTAAATAGACTTAAGGTACGAACGTTCCGGTCGACCTTTGCGACAGAAGGAGAACAAAAATTAGGAGAGACTAATCAAGTTGGTTAGAAAAAGTTACGAAAAACCTTAAAGGAACAACTTCGCGAAAGTTGTTAATTTATCGGGTAGGGTAATTTTTCTAAGTACTTTCAAGAAGAAAGTGAAACTCAATGAGGCACCTCTGGAAGTTGATATTAGTGAAGTGTTGATAACTGTTAGAGGCAGTTAGTTAATTAATAATAATCGCAAACCCTTCTCCTTAATTGAACGAATAATTTTTATCTGGGCCAATTATAGGCCATTCTGTAGTTGGATTATATTTATCTCCTAATTCATTCTTATTATCGAAAAGTGTTGTTGCGAGCGATTATCGATTGACGAGAGAGGTACAGCCGGAAGAGCACCACAAAAGGGGGCGAGCAACATAATACGATACAGACCGGCTATCCACCAAATTAACCCTTTTGGGATTGTGAACAGCACTGGTACTTGGTTGCCCCACCGACCCAGTGTAAAAGGGAAACATATAGCGGCGACACGAAGTAGAGTGAAAGGTCGGCCTAGAGATATTGTGAATTCCACACGTTTACAGTGGCGCTCCTGGGTGGGCGCTATTCTGGATTGTATTTGCCAAGAAGATTTGTGTGCGATTCTGACGATAACGAACGAACGAGTGACAAACGACAGCCATGAATGACGAAGAAAGACAGCTCATGGCGGAGGCTGCAGTGGCAGCAGCGAACGCCCTCGACCGGCAACAGGGTGTGTTTGGATTCGGAACTATAAGACCGGATCGGTTTCCTTCCACTAGTTATCAGAACTGGGCGGACTGGAGGAAACATTTCGCGTGGGTTGCGGACGCGAATCGATGGGACGAC